AGTGACAGGACAAATAAGTGGGGGAGGGCGTCCCAAGAAAGAGCAACTCCAGGTACAAATGCTTTGAAGGGTGAGAGTTGTGTGACCTCGGGGAGCCCAGCAGACAATCCCTGCATACGTATACAGGGGCCATTCCAGCAAAACCTTGTTTTTTATTTCGAACATAAGGAAAGTTATGGTCCTCACTGTCCATCTACTTCAATCCATACATATTCACAACCCAACCCTGACATACCTTTACCTATAGTGGTCTTACAGAAATCCAACTGAAAGGCACAAATGTAACAGTCAAGGAGCTGGAGGGGAGGGTGGAGAGTGTTTTAACTGACTATCAACATGGATTAGGGACAACTAGTTCTGGTCCCCCCGGGGGCCCCTCCGGAAGTGCTCCCCGGGGCTGTGTGCGCGGTGCTTGGAGTAGTCAGAGACACCGTGTGCGCACGCTGGGTGGTGGGGAGGACACTGAACGCTAAAACATCTCTGTTGGGAGCACGGTTTCTTCTACGGTGGCAGATGGCAAGTAACAGAGGTTGAACTTCTCCAGAGAAATGGAGAGACTCCTCCAAAACTCCGCTGGGCTTGGAGACAGTTTGGGGGAATCTGGAAAGAGAAGGTGCACTTCCAGCTGGGGAACAGTAGAGGGCGTCATTTCTTTCTGGGACACATTTGGAGAGCAGGTAGCCAAAAAACGGAAACCAGGAAAACGGAGTGAAGGAGGTGAGAAATTCAAGTATTCCTCTCTGCATAAGATTAGGGAAGGAGACACAGGATTGTATTAATATTTCAAGGATGTTTGGGGCTTTGTTCAAAGGGCAGAATTTGGCTATAACCGCATGCATCACAGCCCTTGGTGACAAATGAACACGCAGCCGTTGGGAGTGGGACACATCATGTCTACTTCCTCAGGACAATAGGGTGCGAGGGGGCAGGGGGGTGGATCAGCGGCAGCATCCTGGAGGGAAGCCTGGGGCACATGGACAGGGGGTGTTGGCACCGTGAGCAGAAGTTCTTGATGGGGAAGCGCTCCCGGCTGGGCTGAACGCAGATCTTGGGGCTGCAGGGCAGATGCCCACAGTGGGGCTTCATTAGGGCGACACTGATGCATCTCCCCTGCAGTGGGGAGAGAGAGAGAGAAGGTCACTAGAACCCGCTGGAATTGGGAGCAGAAGGCTGTGGTTTCCCTGGTCTCTGGGGCCTGCTGAGCGCCTTCTCTGCTCAAGCCCACCCTTTTCCTGCTGCCCAGAGTCTCACTGATCCCCCTGCTGCGTCTGTCTGGGCCTGCTGGTCCCCAGAAAGGCCCACCAGTCCCCACAGGGGCTCCATGTGGTGTGCAGGCTTCCCGCTTCCATGAACCTGTCACTTAGGCATGAAGTGTCACCTTGAGTGCCTGTGGGTGACAAAGGCCACTGAACGCTGCCTTCTCCTCCTGGGACTGTCATTTTCCTCACCCCAGGTTTTAAAATCCTCAGCAACCCTTTAGAATAATGGTGGTTTTCCCCAGTAATGTAGCCACACTGGGAAAACAGAACACCTAAACCCTCTTGAATTTTTCACAAGCTCTTTTTTTTTTTTTAAGTGGGAGCACTGGTGGGTTGAACTCAGGACCTCGTTCAGACAGCAGTGGAGACCCCGGGAGATGGCAGGGCCCATGAGTCTGCCGTGTGGACATAAGGGGGTACGGGAGGTAGCAGGGCCTTGGGAAGTGACGGTGTCCTTCCCCTCTGGTTTTCTATTAATGAAGAGATCTAAGCCAGTAACCAATCGCTTCTTACACCAGCTCAGCCTCAGCGAAGGGATGTTTCTTGACACAATTGGCAAGTGGTTGATTGAACCTTAACTTCCAGTGCTTTGGAGCTTTGGCTCCAATTCTAGATTTCCTGCTTGCTACATAAGGATGTGCGTGTGTGTGTGTGTGTGGAGTAGGGGTGCAGGGGTCGTCAGGCCTGCTTCCATCGCTATCCCAAAGTCATGATCTGAGAGTTTCCTGAAGCACAGCTGTCAAGTTAGGACTTCCTGGAGGGCTGAAGCCCTGTCCCAGCTTTTATCACACACCCCTGTGGGCGGGGCCTAAGGACAAGGACTCAGGACCTCCTTGGCCATGAGCGCATCATACGGCCTGTCTGCAGCTCTAATCGTTACCCTGGACAACTGTTTCCAGCAAATACATGTGAGCTCAAATTTAGACGTAGTCTGCAAACAACACAGTGTGAAAATAAGACATTAATATTCACAATTGTTTGCAAGAGGAAGGAAGAACTTTCCAGACATTTCTCTATCTCCCTGACAGCAGGGTACAGGAGACATAGACTGGGCTGGGAAGTGAGACTCCCCTGGGGTCCTTTGCAGCCCCGCTAACCCCTCCATAGCCCTGTCACATTGAGCTCATCAGAAATGTCAGAGCCTCAGTTTCTTCAGCCTCAAAATGCGGAGCAGTGCCCACTTGGCAGGACGGAGAGGCAGCCACGCTCGCAGGGAGGAGTTGGGCACCGGGCTGTTGGTGCTGGTCTTCCTGCTTCACGGCTGTGTGACTGGGCAGGTGACTCCACTGAGTAGGGGTCAGCTTCCTCCTCCACCCAGTTGTTGGAAGGATGAAAAGCATGAGCTTGTGTAAAGT